CGCAACATTTATTCTTAATTCTCCACAAATTTCATACTGAATCGAAACAATGTATGCCAGTTACAAGATAAATCCTGAGCAATATATTCTCTGGCCATTGATACACCAAATAGCATCCACATATACAGGGTGATTAAAAAATGGCGTCATTCCTCTGGAGGTGTTGTCTGGCGGTGTTTTAGGAGAACAGAAAAAATAGTTAAAAAAATTAATCGTGACGCGAAATTTCAACATTTTCCTCGTGCTCTCCAAGTCAGCCCCTATTACCCCTTAAAAGGAATGACGCCAATTTTGAATCACCCTGTATAAGGAAGCTTAAATAGGTATCTACCCATCCGAACCATTTAAAATCCATTTGCTCGATGCGCGCGATATTTTCTAAAGAACAACTTTTTCCGATAGGTCCGTTTCGTTTTCGAGAAAAAAAAATAAAACGTGAAATTTCGAAAAAATAGCAAGGTTTTCACCCACCAACATTTTTGGCGATAATTTTTTTAGTTTTTTGTTCGAACTATTCCTTGCCACGTGGTTAGATATGGAAGTTACATGACAAATCAGCCTTGGTTGGTTAAAAAAAAATCCCCTGGGAGCTACAGGGGGAAGACCAAAAAGTTTGTACTGGCCTTTATGGAAGAAAAAGTTTCAAAATTGAATAAAATTGTCAAAGGGCGTTAGGATTGATTGAAATTCTCACCAATTAGTATTCAGACCAAAACGAATCAACTCCATGTCAAATCGATTCGGAAAAGTGGAAGAAAAAAAACTCCATTTAACTCCATGTAATCGGTAAATTGTGGTACCGATCAACTAAAATACTAACCCTTCTATACAAACAGCTGAATAAAGCTTTTATTCAGCTGTTTGTTAATTAGTGACTTCTCAGAACATTCACAAAATTCAAAATTATTGCAACAAAACTATTATTTGCAGTGAGATTTTAATATATGGAAAAGCATGCATACAAATCGCAACATTTATTCTTAATTCTCCACAAATTTCATACTGAATCGAAACAATGTATGCCAGTTACAACATCAATCATGAGCAATATATTCTCTGGCCATTGCTACACCAAATAACATCCACATATACAGGGTGATTCAAAATTGGCGTCATTCCTCTGGAGGTGTTGTCTGGCGGTGTTTTAGGAGAACAGAAAAAATAGTAAAAAAAATTAATCGTAACGCGAAATTTCAACATTTTCCTCGTACTCTCCAAGTGAGCCCCTATTACCCCTTAAAAGGAATGACGCCAATTTTGAATCACCCTGTATAAGGAA